TTTACCCTTGAAAGAAGAGAATCACACCCACTAAGTGAGATCTACATTTATGTGACTCTACCCTGAAAGCATTCCCCAGTCCACATGGCATGGAGCAGCTAAACCAAAGCGGAAAGCTGCAGCTGTATTGGTTTGACAAGTCAGCAGACAGACTATAGGTTAACAGAGTGTCTGGAAAATGAGGAAAGCCTAAAGAGATGCCCAGCTCCCTCCTCAATAAGATTGACTGATGCCTCTGTTAAGACTGTATTGCAGTTCAATTCATTTCTGCTTTTCATACTTGCCTACAGCTGTTAATCTTGGGAGCACTCTCCAATAAACGTCCTGCTTGCAAATCACCATAGCAGAGTCATCTTCCTGGCTGAGGAACCTGACTTGCAACAGTCCAATTGATATTTATAGAACATTACCCTGAACAACTGCAGAATACCCATTCTTTTCAAGTGCAAATGAACATTCATCAAGATAGAGCCTACTGAGCCATAACATTAATTTCAATGAATGTCAGAGATGTCAAAGGATTAAAGCCTTATACACTATGTTCATTGCAAACAAATGAATATTAAAAGCAACAATAATAAATTATCTGAAAGAGTAGTGGAATTTGAAAATTAAAGATGTTTAAATAATACATGAGAAAAAAAATCACAAAGAAATTAAGAATAATTTGAATTGAACAATAATGAAAATAATGAAATGCCAAGTTTCTGAGATGCAGCTAGAGCAGTGCGTGGAGGGAAATGCATTGCTTTAAATGCTTATATTAGAAGAGATGAAAGGTTTAAAATTAATGATTTACATTTCTATTTTAAGAATCTAGGGGGAAAAAATCAAACCCTTAAACCTAAAATAAGGAGAAGAGAGGAAGTATAAAGAGAATAAAGAGCAGATACATGTGAAATAGAAAACAAACAATGGAGAATATTGGAAAAGCTGCAAATTGGTTCTTTAAAAGATTAATAAAATTTGTAAATTCCTAGCAACACAGATTAATCCAAAAGAGAGAGACAGCAAATTACCAGTGTCAAGAGTATCAGGGAAAACCACTGCAGATCCTACAGAAAGTGAAAGGATAATTTAAAAAAATATTATAATTACTTTATGCCAGTAGATTTCACAATTAAGAATGGACAAATTGCTTGAAATCACATATTGCAAATACTGAAATAAGAAAGAGAATATGAATAGATTTATAGAACAGGTTGAGTTCATTATTAAAAACTTTTCCATGAAGAAAACATCAGCCCCAGATGACCTCACTGTTGAATTCTTCCAATAATTCAAGAAAAAAGATAGTACCGATATTACATAAACTCTTTCAGAAAAGAGAAAGGCAGGAACATTTCCCAGCATATTCTGTGAGCTCAACATTACCCTGGTACCAAAATCTAGCAAAGATATTACCAGGAAAGGAAATTATAGACCAGTATTTTTCATCAACATGGATGCAAAAATCCTCAACAAAATATCATATTGAATACAGCAATATGTAAAACTGGTAATTCACCATAACCAAGTGGAATTTATCTCAGGAATGCAAGTTTGGTTTAGCATTGGAAAATTAATCAATCAGTTGATTCACCACATTAAGCAAATAAGTGATTTTAAAAACTATAGTTCTTCTCAATTGAAAATCACTTGGCAAATTCAACGTCCATTCATGATAAAAATCTCGGGCAACTAAGACTACTAGGGAACTGTCTCAGTCTGATAAAGTACATTTACAAAAACCTACAACTAACATCTTAGTAATGTGAGATAGTGAACGTTTTCCCCCTAAGATTGAGAAAAGGTAGGTGTCTACTTTCATCATTTCTATTCAGTGGTGGAGGTCCTAGGCACTGTAATAAAAGAGGTGAAAAAAGGAAAGGCATTAAGTTTGGAAAAGGAGAAGTAAAGATATCTCTATTTGTAGATGACGTGATTACTTAAATAGAAAATCTTAGGAAATCTGTAAACAACCACTAGAAACAATAATTGAATTTATCACGTCAACATACTGACAATAATTGACAAATATATGATACTAGCAGCAAACAAATGGAAAATGAAACTTAGAGAACAGAGTCTTTTAAAATACCATCCCCGCGCCCCCCCCAAAAAACACAGAAGAAATATTAGGAATCAGTTTAACAAAATATGTGCAACACTTCTATATTGAAAATCACAAAACATTTCTGAGAGAAACTGTAGTTAGTAAGTTGAGTGCTCTACCATGTTCATAAAATAAAACATTTAGTAGTGTTGAGATGTTATATCTACCCAAACTGAGCTGTAGATTCTATATAATCCCAAACCATATCCCAACAGACTTTTTCATACAAGTTGATTTTAAAATGCATATGGAAACAGGACCTAGAATACTCTAAACAATCTTGAGAAAGAAAATCTAAGTTGGGGGACTCATTGTGTCCGATTTTAGGCCTTTCTGTAAAGCCACAGTAATCAAGACTAAGGACAAACAGATCAATGGAGCATAAGAAAGAGTCCAGAGATAGACCCATACATATACAATTCATTGGTGCCAAGAAAGCCACCAAAGCAATTCATTGGGAAGAAAATATTTTCATAAATGGTGCTGGAAAACTGGATAAATGAACCCCACCTCACACCACTCAAAAAATCAAGTTTGGATGAATTATAGACCTAAATAGAAAAGCTAAAACTATACAGTTTCTGTAAGAGATTAGGAGACAATATCATCATGATCTTGGGGTTGGCAAAGATTTTTAAAAGCAGATACAGAAAGGTCTAATCATAAGAAAAATCTGGTAACTTGGACTTCATAAAATTTTAAACTTTTGTTTATCAAAACATCTACAGATTTATGTAACAGATTTCATATATGTACATATAGATATGTGTACTTATGTACGTATATATACATTTTTGTATGTACATATAAAATATTCCTAATAACCAAAATATGGAAGTGTAGTCTCATCCTATAATATAAATTTTATTCTCATTGTAATGTTTTTATTTCAAGTAAACAACTTTTCGTAAGAGTTATTTTATTCTATCAAACTTCTGTTCATGAAGGACATGAAATGGCAAACCAAAGACAGAGAAAATGCTCACAGCATGCATATCTGACAAAGGACTTATATCCAGAATGTATAAAGAACTCCTAGTCAAATAATACAAATCAATAATAAAAATATAAACAACCCACATTTTAAAAATGGGCCAAAGAACTCTGAAAAACAAACAGGGTTCTAGAGGGGAGGGGGGTGGGGGGATGGGTTAGCCTGGTGATGGGTATTAAAGAGGGCACGTTCAGCATGGAGCACTGGGTGTTATGCACAAACAATGAAGCATGGAACACTACATCAAAAACTAATGATGTAATGTATGGTGATTAACATAACAATAAAAAGAGGGAAAAAAATAAACATTGCAGAGATTGTCAGACTTGTTAAAAAAAAAAAAAATGGGCCAAAGATTTAAACAGACACTTCACCAAAGAAGGTATATCAATGGCCAGTAAACCCATGGAAATTGCTCAACCTCCTTCGGTATCAGAGTAAATAAATTAAAAATACAATTAGACACTATTTTACATCCACTGGAATGGCTAAGATTAAAGACTGATAACAACCAAGTGTTGTTAAGGATATAAAGCAACCAGAACCCTCAAGTGAAATGTGCAAAATAACACAACCACTATGGGAAACCTTTTGATGGTTTCTTATAAAGGTAAATATATTTCTACCCTATGATCCAATAAATTTGCCTCTAGATATTTTCTTGAAGAAAAGTCTCCCTTTCACTCTCTCTCTTTCTCTCACTCATTCTTCCTTTTCCCACAAAAATGCTTAAATAAAAAATCCTTATAATAACAATCCTATTCATAATACCCTCAAACTGGAAACATTTCAAATGCTCATCAACAGGAGAGGATGTAAAAATTTGTGGTTTATTCATCCAGTGGAGTGCTACTCGACGATTGAAAAGCAGAATGACTATTGATACGTGTAGCCTAGATGAGTCTGAAAACCACTCTGTTGAGAGCAGGAAGCACCTTCACAAAAGATTAATACATATGATTACATTTATATGAAGTTTAAGAAGAGGTAAAATTAATATACGGTGACAGACATCAGAAGAGTGTTTGCCTATGAGGCTGTGTGTGTGCCTCAGGAAGGGCTGAGATCAGGGTCCCACCATGGTTGGTTTCTGGTGAGGGCCTCTTCCTGGCCTGCAGACAGCTTCCTTCTCCTTGTGTCCTCACCTGGTGGAGGGAGAGCAAGCTCACTAGTGTCTCATTTTATAAAGCCACGAATCCCATCATGAGGGCCCCATCCTCATGACCTCATCTAATTTCCATTACCTCCCAAAGGCACCATCTCCAGTTAAGGACTTCAACACGTGAATTTGGGGGACACAATTCAGTCCGCAGCAATATATATTTTAGAAAATCTGGAAAATATAGATAGGTGGAAAGAAAAAGAAAAAAAAAAGCCATGTAATCGCATTACCCAAGTATAATTATGGTTAACATTCCAGTGTATTTGCTTTCCAAAGTTTCGATATTTCATCCTTTATGTGGTTGTAGTCGTTCTGTCCCAATAAACTTGTAGCATGATCTTCTTAATTACAAATGAAATGTTTTCTATGGTACTAAAATCTCTATATATACCCTCTCTTAATAGCCACAAAAGTTTTCAACTGAGTGACTGTGCTCTAGTTTATTTATTACTTTGTGGCTGAAGTTTGGAATTCTTTCTAATATTTTGCTAGTGTAAATAATGCTGTGAAAAATATATCTGTGCAGGAGGCTTTTTCTGTAACTGAGATTCATTTCTTGGGATAGAATTCCAGAAAATGAAATCGTAGGTTAAAAGGTTATGCTCTAATTACATGTTGCCAAATTCCTTTCCAAAAGGATGTCCCACTTTGTATTGCCCCCAACAGTGGAGCAGGAAGGTACCATATCTGTTTGCTCTTAAGGGGCGGAGGTCATTTCCACTAATGTGTGTGTTGGCTTGTTTCCACAGGTTAGCAAAGATAGCTGAAGCCAACTTGTGCAGGATTCCCCTGGCTCTTCTGACTCAAGATCCCACCACCTCCTCTCCCTGGCAGCCTGTGTTCTGGGCTTCACCTAGACAAGTCTGAGTAGGAACAAGCCATCTCTCCCATCCATAGCCATGAATTTCCTCCGGCGGCGCCTCTCTGACAGCAGTTTCGTGGCCAACCTGCCTAATGGCTACATGACAGACCTGCAGCGCCCAGACAGCTCCACCAGCTCCCCTGCTTCCCCAGCCATGGAAAGGAGGCACCCCCAGCCCCTGGCAGCCTCCTTCTCCTCTCCAGGATCCAGCCTCTTTAGCTCCTTTTCCAGTGCCATGAAGCAGACCTCACAAGCCCCCTCAGGGCTGATGGAGCCTCCAGGTCCCTCCGCTCCCATTGTTCAAAGGCCCAGGATCCTATTGGTGATCGATGATGCCCACACAGATTGGTAAGCCAAAATCTGCAGGTGCTTCCACGTAGGGGCCAGAGAGGTGATGGGGGGGAAGCTGAGAGGCTTGGTGGTATCAGAGACTGGCCCGAGGGAAGGAAACTACCTTTACCATGTGGCTACTGCATGCCAGGCACCATGGCACCTGCTTTATGCTTTACATTTACAGGTCCCAATCCCTTACCTGTAAATCCAAAATCCAAAAAGCTCTGAAAACTAAAAAATATTTTATAATCCATTTGGCAGCAAAGCCTGGTCTGAGGGAAAGTGAGACTGTAATAGTCTTCATTATACCACTCACTGTGCTTGACCATATGATCTGCAGCAATGTTGGTTTACATCTTAATACGTTTGCTGTGGGGATGCTGCCCAGAGCTCACCGGAAGTATTACATAATATATGGTATGTGTGCCATATTACCTTCCTAAAAATGGAAAACTTAAAAAAAAATCTGAAATAACTCTGGCAAGTTGCTTACTATCTTTCAGCGTCAGCCATTCTCTGTCCATTCAATTAGGTTGCTATGAGGGTAAAAGAAACCAACACAGGCCCATGGTCCTTCTCTAACACCCTTGGGACCAGAGTGCCTGCGTTTGTATCCCAGCTCTTCCATGTACTGGCAGTCTGGCTCCAGAACCTCTTCTCTTAACACCAAGCGTGGTCAGAGACGATGTTAGGCATGCTGATAGATGGTAAGCTCTCCAGAGGCAGAGACTAGGCACATGTGTCAAGGTCATTGCAACTGTTGTTCCACAAGTAGTTACTGAGCACCATTCGAGTGCAAGTTGGGTAAGTGGTGAACAGACCCTGTTCACATGGATCTGGGCAGTTAGAGAATAGGACTCTATACCAAATTTTTGGTAGAGATGGGTGATAAGTATTATCAGTCCTAGTTTGAGACATAGAATTTGCAGTCCAGGAAATAAGTCAAAATGTGGAGACATGGAAGCACTCCATCCAGGGCATTTCTGACAGTAGACCCATACATGATCATGGGGCTGGAGAGCAAGGTTGAATGCATGTGTCTCCAAAGGCTGCCACGTCATAGGCTCTCAGTATATCTTTCTTGGGTGAATAAATTAATGCATTCAGTTCACTGAGCATACCAGAGGCTCTGTTGTTCTCACATGCATGTGTGTACTCACATTCATTCCTTGAGACGTTAACTCAGGCTGGGAATGATGGAGCCTGTGCTTTGGAATGGGAGATATTTATAGTGTATAATACATATTCAGTACAGTCAATATGGAAGCATGTTCAGCAGGTGTAGACAGCAGTCTTTACTCTCCTACTAAGAAATCAGTTCATCTTAAGCAAGATGGTCATGTGTATGGCCTCTGTTCTGATCCAGTCTGCATTATCTTCGGTGTTGCTGTTTGCCTGAAGCCTGTTACCATGAAGCCTTGTTTATCTGTTTATGCGCTTACGTAAAAGCACCATCTTTAGGTTCTGAGCTTAGCGGTTGATTTGTGCAGAGATGTTGCTTCCAGGCATTCTTGCCTGTACAATCCTGCTGCCTGTCTGCCCAGTAATCAAAAGGTCTGCATGGCCTTTGCAGTCCTCTGTTTCTTTTTAACCCAGTGCTTGACCTTGATTTTGAGCATTCTCTGCTGACTGTGTTATCTCTGGCTCAGTCAGGGTTTGCCATGATATGGCAGTGGTCGGGGGTTATTTTAAAAACCTGTTTGTCAGGAAAGTTACTTTCTGTATGGAGGTTGAGCTGATAAATGACAGCACAGTACAATGGTGAGGAACACAGACTTCAGAGTTAAGCTGTCTGGGTTCAGATCCCATTTCTACCCCATAGTAGCTGAATGACTTTTGCAAGTTACTGCACCTAAATGTGAATAAGATAGTATCTACCTTATAGAGTTAATGTATGTAATTGGGTTAAAATCTGAGTTCATATAAAAGTGATTAGGATGTATCTGGTAGACAGTGGGTTCTACTTAGGTGTATGTTACTGTTGCAGACTGTTTGTGACCTTCTGTGCAACATTAGTCATCTTGATGGCAGCCCCTCAGTAATGGGCAGAGTGGATTAGGATTTATCCCATTGTGCAGAGTTTTCTACTAGTCACTCATGCCTGTTAGCTCCTGAATGATAAAGTTGGGTCTTATTAATCTCTGTCCTCCTGGTGTCCATGGGGTAAGCAGTATAGTGTAGGGGCACAGTGAATGAGGTTGAAATGCAATGAATGGCCTTACCCAAGTAACATTTATTTATTATTATTTTAAGTTTTTATTTAAATTCCAGTTAGTTAACATACAGTTATATTAGTTTCAGATGTCCGATATAGTGATTCAACACTTCCATACATCATTCTGTTCTCATCGTGACAAGTACACTCCTTAATCCCCATCACCTATTTCACCCATCCAAGTAACATTTACATTTTGACTTTGGTCTTCCGTCTCTCTAATCCACAGGCATGACTAATGGGTGAATTTTAGGCTGTGCATACTGATGGGGGACACAGTTCTGGCCAGAGGAATGTCTCCCAGTCTATTTCAATCATGCCTGTTATACTCACACTTTAGTTAGGTCTCGAAAACAGCAATCTTTTTCTTGCCCCTCTGTGGGTAATAAAGGGGAGAAGGGAGAAACTGACACTCATTGGCTTACCTGGAACCTGGTTCTGCTGTATCCATTGGACATTTGTGATAGAGACTTCCTGCCTGCAGACACATCAGCTTTTCCTGCAGGACTCCATCCCAGATTCTTCTCCAACTTCCTATCCTCTCTCAATCTCAATACATTCCCAGCTTTCTCCAGATTCATGAGGGCTGCCTGGGAATCCCAGTCCTCCTCTGCAGAGTTCTCGAAGGATGCTTGTCCCCCGCCACCAGGAGCGGCCAGCAGGTGGCGAGCCAGCCCCACTGTCCTGGGTGGCTTTGGCAGAGCCTGGACTGCCTGGGTCGGCCCCCGCCCAGCCCCTCCTCCATTGTGCAAACTGTCTCCTGAGAGGAAGAAGTTGTTGAAGGGGAGAAACCAGCTCTCAGGGCCTCTTTTTCCCCCCCCTTTGAGATGATAATGAAGGGGGAGATAGCCACTGTCTGGACTGAGAGTGAACCTACCAGGAACAATGCTGCTCCCTTGTCTCCCTTCTCAGCCCCAGATCCTCTGTTTTCCCATTCGGGGTCCTGGGCCTTCCTGCAGAATCAGGTTTCCTTGTAGTGAGGGAGTTTGCAGAAACCCCCACTCTCCCCCTCTTGGTTGAGGCCAGCTTGCCGATACTCTGAACAAGCCTGGGCCCCCCAAGGACTATCTGATACCTGCCCAGTGACCTGGGGGGAAGGACTTTTCATCCTTGGAGGAGAAACAGAGGGCTCCAAAACCACCTTTGCTGGGAAAAACAACTTATGGCTGAGCTTTGTAAGATCCCACCACCTTTTGGAGTTGGCCCTGGAGGTGAGCCTAGCTAGGGCAGTGGTGTTTGGGGAACTTTGAGCCAGCTCAGTAGTGGGTCTGAACTCAAGTTGGTGCTGTCCTTTGGGATGAGGGGAGATCAGTCAGTCTTGAGAACCACAAGGGAAAGGAGAAATAAAATAAATGGATTTCAGGCTCAGTATTCTTCAGCCCTACTACCTTTCTACTCATTCTTTTGCCTAGAATCTTCAGAAGCCTCACTGGTCTCAGGCCTCCAGTCTTGACCTCCTGGTTACCTTCCATGTTACCACCAAAGGGTCATTTTTTTGAAACACAGACTTGATCAATTTGCTCCCACTGAGCATGTCCTATTATAATGCTCTGTTGCTACGTCATTGCCCTCAAGTTCAAATTCAGTCATCAGCTTGCCTCCCTCCCTCTAATTCTGTCTCTAGCTCCACTTCCTGCTGGACTATTTATTCTGCAGGAATAACAACCTGTAGTTCTCAAACACATTTGCCTTAGCACATTCTGCTCCCTGCTACCTGGAATACCCTTCCCAATCTTGTTCACGTGTCCAATTTCCATTCATCCTTAAAAAGCCTGCTCAGGTGTCGCCTCTTTTGTGAAGTCTTCCTTGATACACCTCACCCTGCCAACAGTGCTAATAACCATCTCCTTTATGTAACTTAGAGCATATTTCATTGTGCTACAGTAATTTCACACTGTACTATCATTGGCTGTTAGGTGGCTGTCTTTTCTACCAAAACAAGGCCTGTGTCTTATTCGTCTTTATATCCCTGGTGCTCAACACACAGTGTTCAATTAGCATATGTCATTGTCCCCACTCTAGTCCAATGAGGATAACTTTTAATGGGCATATTGGGGCCCAAAACTCACCTTACCTTAGGAGTCAGCAATATAATACATACAGTTGAGGGGTTTCTGTTTTTACTCACCTATGTATAAAATCTTAACTCTTTATTTTCCAGTATGGGAGGGTAACTGTAAGGCTGCTATGTGAGATTTTTAAAAGAAAGTTGGCACAAAATTTTATTATTGTCCACAGAATATACCAGAACCCCAGGTTTGATTTCAGATTCAAAACATTGAACATGACAAAAAAAAGATTGCTCATAATTGGGCTTGGGTTGGATGTACCTCCCTGCTCGTGGTTTTGCCTATAAGACCTCCAGAACCTGGAGGAAGTTGAGGAGCAGGTTGTTGAGGTGAGAGGATAGAAGCAGCTAAGCCTTTGCCCCCAACCCCTCCCTCCAGTGGCCTGTGGAACTCTGGCCCTCCTCTCCTCTTACCTCACCCATGGCCTTGTTCCCAGAATGTCTGCTATTCCATTTCAACAATGATCTGTTGTTACCTTCCCTTCAATTCTCCACCCTTCCGTATGTTTCTTTTTTCTTTTATTTGTTGGGGAGGAAATGAAGAAAGTATTCTTGGTTTGAAACACCCCTCTGCTACTATCCTTACAGCCTAGAGTGTATCAGGCTACACTGTCCTACTAAATGATGATTGGTGATAGCCATTAAAACACCTTGTGCATTTCTAGATTCACCAAGAGATGCTGTATGATAGTTTGTGTCTCCACCACCACCCTACCCCACCCACTCCCAGAT